GCAGCGAGAGAAATCCTGACAGAGCTGTGTGCCAGGACCGAGTACCTGGGAGGACTTCAGAATTCGTAAGAAAAGTGAGAACAAATGTGGTGACAAGGAATGAGTGACCAGGAGAGGATAACGATGGTCTAGAAAGAATTAGGGGCCTCAATTTTCAAGGCAGATATAAAGACCTTATGAATCTCCACCCTTTCAAATCCCAAGGAGTGAGTGTAGGAAAGGAAAGAGATGAAGCTGGAAATACATGACAGGGCCATCTATCCGTGCATTTACTAAGCATCTAATATGTGCCAATCATTTTCCTAGGAATTAAGCTGAACAGGGAGCAAAGAGAGCACACAAGGTCGTTGCTTTTAAGCCACATCCTGGAGGGAAAAGCCCAGCAACCAGCAAGTAGATGAATAAATAATTTCACATGGTGACATGTGCTATGAAGAAAATATAATGCGGTGATTGGGTAGGAACAGCTACTCAGGTATCTTAGGTTGAACGGCCAGGAAGGTCATTTCGAGGAGACCGCCAGAATGACAAGATGCTGCTAGCACGTAGACACAGGAAGAAAAAGCCCTACATGCTGGGGGGACAGACATGGACAAGAGCAGTGTCTAAAGAGCCCCGACGGCCAGGCAAATTTATTTAGATTTAGCTTACAGCTGAGAGACTCTGGCAACAGGGAAGACACACCCAGACTGTTCAGCAGTCTGCCACTGGTCTCTGGAAAGCCAACCTCAACAAAGACAGAAACTGTCCTTCCCTCCTCACCCTCACATGTCTAAAGCCTCCCTGAAGGTCAGGATGGGCAGGAGACACTTTTCATTATCAAATAAAAAGGTCTTTCGTAGAGGCAGGCTGATCTCTGTGAGTTCGAGACCAGCCTGGTCTACAAAAGCTAGTTCCAGAACAGGCTCCAAAGCCACAGAGAAACCTTGTCTTGAAAAACAAAAACAAAAAACAAAAACAACAACAACAAAAAAAAGGTCTTTTGTGCCAATACCCAGACATTTAGCTGAAAAAGGTAAGAGAAAGGCTCTAAGGGGACAGCAGTCAGGGTTGTGTGTGCATGTATGCAGGACAGCATTACCTTAAGCACTGAGGAGACAATCCATTGCTAGCCTAAAGGACCTTGTACTGTACTGTGAATTAAGAAGGCTTAGGAAATTGGGAGTGCTAGGGGGTGAGGGCCATCACAGAAGCATAGATTGTTGGGTGTTTGACACTATAAGCAAATGACTGAATGACTCCTGCTGGTTCAGTGCACAGAAGCAGTAATAGGGTGACAACTGTCACTTGCTAAACTGGTTTTTGCTTAGCTTAGAAAATATCAGTAGGGATTCACTGAGGGCTTGACAGGCACTCTCAGCAGGGTCTACTTTGTTAGATGAAGTGTGGTGTCCTGTGGGATAGTGCCCAGTCTCCTGTCTATGGCTAAAGCAGTTTCAATACTCATTTATTCAGGTCACTGTGCTGTTTAAAATGGAACTCAGGTGCTAGAGTGCTTGCCTAATACATACAAAACCGTGTGTTCACTCCCCAGCATCACATGAAAACCAGGAATAAAATAGTGCTGTTGGTTTGTGATCCTAGCACTTGGAGGAGGAGGCAGGAAGAACAGAAGTAAGTTAAGGCTATCCTCAGCTACATGGTAAGTTGGAGGCCAGAGTTGTCTACCTGAGATCCTATCTTAAAATGCAAATTTAAAATAAAACTCATGAAAGCTGTCTAGCAGTTTCTGCTGGGAGTGACATTCAGAAGACGTCCTTAGCATGGCCTGCTGCTGCTCTCGGACATCTTTCCACTCCTGGACCCTCTGCCTTCCCATATTGCAGCCAACCATACTGCTGTTTCCCAGTACACTGTGTTCTGCTACCTCATGCCCCTGACCAGGCTATGCTGCTGTTATGGGATGCTGCCTTTTGCTATAAAATTCCTCTTCACTGGGCTAACTTCTGTTCCTCTGGGATTCAGCTTAGAGCCAGAACCTTCCCCAACCATAGTCCTCTTCCCTAACTTCCTTTCCAGGACCTGGGCTTCAGGTGTTAGCTCAAACAGTTTGTCCTGAAGCCTCATTCGTTATTCCGGGCCCCTTCTTATAGACTCTATTTCCCTTAGCACTCCTTAAGCAGCGTGAGGGGAGTGCCTTACCTGTTTGTCTCACCAGCATATCACCTTTTAGAAGAGGACTGTTCACTACATAAATGAACTCCTTTGGACTCCACACCACATGGCGGTCGGCCACTCACGCCACAGCACTTCTCTATCCTCCCAGCGACCTGGTAACCCGTGTCTTAGCCTTGCTTTCAACTGCTGTTATGAAACACTAGAGTAAAGGCAACTTGGAGAGGAAGGGGTTTACTTTATCTTACAGCTCTCAGGTCACACTCCATTACCAAGGGCAGCCAGGGCAGGAACCTGGAGGCAGGAAGTGAGGCAGAAACCAGGGAGGAATGCTGTTGTATGGAGGCTGCTTGTTCATTTCCGGTCACCCAGACCAGGAATAATCACACAGAAAATGTATTAACTAAGTCACTGCTTGGTCTGGCTCTAGCTTCTTATTGGCTAGCTCTTACATATTTAACCCATTCCTATTAATCTGTGTATCGCCACATGGCAGTGGCTTACCAGCAAAGTTTTGGCATGTCTGGTCACTGGCAGCAGCTCCATGGCTTTTCTCTGACTCCACCTCCTTTCTCCCAGCATTCAGTTTAGTGTCCCATACACCCCCCACCCCGCCTGCAGTTCTACTCTACCCTATCAGGCAGGGTCTAACTTTGTATCTAGGCTGGCTTTGAATTTTCAGGAATCATCCTGACTCAGCCTCCCAAACACAATGATGAGAGAGGTTTGAATCACCATGCTCAGTTTAAAAATATTTGACTGAGCAAATTAAATGGATAGACGAATGGATACGATAGCCATTTGTGGCAGAGGGCAGGTCCTGTCATACTTACAATCAGACAGAAGACTGATATATTGTGATTAAAGAAATGAAGAATCTGGCCTGCCAAGAGCTGATGGAGGGAGCCAGGGCGAAATATGGCTTTGCCAGATTCCAACATCAACACTCAGAATCTGGGAGTCTCATGGCAAGCTCAGCTTGTCTGACTCCAACCAACCCACAACCAATCTGAACATGGGTGAACCAAAAATAGGGACTGCCTTGGCTTCTACTTTTTGTCCTACTATATTCATAATGCCTAAACTGGGACCTGTGGGGCACGGAAAGATTCCTGACGTATATGTGCCTGTGCTCTAGTATAGCAGGCTTTTTTTTCTCTTCAAGTTTCTTGGAACCAAGAAAAAAAAAACTGTTGGTGAGCAACAGAAACAATAAATGAAGACAGATGACTCATTTGCAATGCACCTGAGATCTAAAATGTATTAATTTAATTCAGTTTATAGTACAATGCAACAATTCTTATTTTGATAGCCCTTTTCATACCCTGATGAAAAGTCTGAAAATGCCATACAAAGAACAATTTTAGAATGGTTGAATACACAGAGCCAGGTTTCCACAATAAAGCCCACTGGAACTTTAAAGACAGAAAAAAGGCACAGCCTCCCTCCTCCATCTCTTTCTCCTTCATAATGACGTCTTTTTAGGTGTAATTTTGCTGTTGTCAGTCTTTTAACTTTCTCCCACACAGGCTCTCTACCCAGGCTGTTATCAACAAAAATACGAACATGAAAGGGACGGGAAGCACTTGTTTTTATGTACACATCTTTGATCAGATCAGAGATGAAAGAGTGAATACCCACTCCTGCTGCTTTTAAGAACTAATTCTTGAATGCAGTTTTGTAAGAAAGACGAATAACAAAAAATAAAGAGATGCTTAAACATCTCCCCTAAGTGTCCAAGGCCCAAGTTTAACTCACCATTTCAATCCCGTGGCGTTCTGTTAGAACAGGCCTAGAAAAGATGCATGGGAAGCTCTGCATTGGGCCCTCCAAATCCCACAAGTCTCCTGTCCCACTTCTTGAGGCTGTGCACAAAGACCAAGTGTATACGGCACAGCAGCACACATTTGCATTATTCTCACAAGGGCACAGTCCTGGCATGAGAACTCCTCTGAATGTGGCTTTACAGCAAATTTTAAAAAGCAATATTGAGCTAGCAAGAGGGTTCAGTGGGTAAAGGTGCTCGCCACCAAATCTGATGAACCACGTTCAATCCCCAACAGACTCTGCGTTTAAAAAAAAGTGTGACACTGTCTGTTCAGAGACCAAGGCACTATTTGGGAAAAACAGCAGTTTGGTTCTGGAGTTGGAGAGATGGCTCTGTCTTGCAGAGGACAGTTCAGTTCCCAGCAGCCATATCAGGTGGTTTACAACCTCCTGTAACTCCAGTTCCAGAGATGCAATGTCTCTGACCACTTCAAGCATCCTGTGCAGTTGCAAGGCTGGGCAGATGGTTCAGCAGTTAAGAGTATTTGCGCCTCTTGCAGAGAACTGGGGTTCAGTTCCCAGCACCCACATGTGGCTCACAACCATTTATACCTCTAGTTCAAAGAGATTAACTTCAGTTTCAGGAGCTCGGATGTCCTCTTCCAGCTTTATCAGGTACAGGCATGCATGTGGCATGCATATACATGTAGGCAAACATTCCTATGCATAAAGTAAAAATACATAAATCTTTAAAAAAAAAAGCGTTGTTTCTGGATTCTGGTTGGTCTCTGGGTCTCAGTGCTGCCCCACTCCCAGTATAACCTAAGCCTTTGTTCTCTTACAGAGAGAGGAATATAATGGTAACTGTCTTAGGACAGTGAAGAGGTGGGAAGGAACAATGGCACTTTGAGCACTGAGGCTGGTCTACGATAAGTATAAGAAAAGTGAAGGTGAGAGCAGCCTTCGGAGATCCCGTGGATCTGTGTCTTGCTTCAACAGTGTTTGGACGGAACAGACCCAGGGCCTCCCTTTGTTAGCTACCACAGCCTCTGGGACCATCACCTCGCCGCCATCAGCTCCCAGGACCAGCTAGCACCGTCTCTTTGCGGGTAGCTCCAGACTGCGTCTTAACCATGACCTCCCAGATTCGTCAGAATTATTCCACCGAAATGGAGGCTGCCGTGAACCGCCTGGTCAACCTGCACCTGCGGGCCTCCTACACCTACCTCTCTCTGGGCTACTATTTTGACCCGGATGACCTGGCTCTGGAGGGTGTAGGCCACTTTTTCTGCGAATTGGCTGAGGAGAAGCGCGAGGGCGCCGAGCGTCTCCTCAAGTTGCAGAACGATCGCGGAGGCCGTGCACTCTTTCAGGATGTGCAGAAGCCATCTCAAGATGAGTGGGGTAAAACCCAGGAGGCCATGGAAGCTGCCCTGGCCTTGGAGAAGAACTTGAACCAGGCCCTCTTGGATCTTCATTCCCTGGGCTCTGCCCGCACAGATCCTCATCTCTGTGACTTCCTTGAAAACCACTTCCTGGATAAGGAGGTGAAGGTCATCAAGAAGATGGGCAACCACCTGACCAACCTCCGCAGGTTGGCTGCTGGGCCCCAGGCATCTCTGGGCGAGTACCTCTTTGAGCGGCTCACTCTCAAGCATGACTAGGAGGCCTCTCCTTCCGAGGGGCTCCCACCTCTGCTCTGCAGCAGCCCGCCTCAGGACCTTCACCCGAACCTCTCAAGAAGCCACTAGGCAGCTTTGTAACGCCCTGGAGCCCCTCTCAAGTCTTGGACCAAGTAAAAATAAAGCCTTTTGAAGCAGAAAAAAAAAAAAAAAAAGAAAAGAAAAAAGAAAAGTGAAGGTGAGAAGCAGGCAGATTCCATCTCAGTAGTCTGAGTCTGCTTTATTGGAATATTGAGGAGTTTCGTTCTTCCTGTAGGATGAAGGTTGAGCACATCCAGAGAGGCTGAGGGACAGGCATATACACACATACATGAGCTACCAGGGAGTTACAGTTAATTTTTTGTGGTTTAACTGGGAGCAGGGTAGGTTGTTTTTGATATCTGGGAATATTGTTTGTACAGGTGAAGAGGGACAGGTCAGGCTGGGGCCAAACCTTTATGGCTAGGGGCTATTGCCCAGTACAGCCTGACTCAGTGCCTCATGATTCCAGGCTACTATCCAAAAACAAGGACACAGGAAACAAGAGTGGTTAGTTTTCATCATTCAGAGTATTAAAAAATTATTGTGGATGAACACATTAATAAGTGCATCTTAAGCTTTTATGACTCTACTGAGGCTGAGACAATCCAATGAATTAATGATTCTCAACTCTGTTTTAAACACCAGAGTCATCCTGAGAGACTTTTAAAAATGCTAACTCCCTCCTGAAGATACGAATTTGAGTTACTAGAGGTGGTGCTAAGGTATGTTTTTTAAAAAAGTTTGCCTGGCTGACCAAGCTCTACAAACATGGGGGAAACCCTCTGCGGTTACCTAAGACAGGGTCTCTTGTAGCCCAGGCTGACCCTGAACTCATGACCCTCCTGTTTCCACCTCCAGTGCTGGAATTACAGGCATGAATCAACACACCCAGCTCAAGATTTTGCAACTTTTATTACAAGCTGCAGAACTGGTTCTTGTTCTTTATCCCTCTTGAATTTTACTTATCATTCTGCCTTCCTTAGGGTGTGGGTGTCTCAAAGGGAGCAACAGCCAGGAAAGTGCTTTGTAGATTGTGAATCTATTTACCAGCATGATGTAGGTAAATAATGACGAAGTGTTCACAGTGCAGAGACTCTACAAAATGATCTTTGCTAGTTCATCTTTATTGACATTTTGATATTACTGTTTCCTTTTTTAAACCCCAAGAACAATTATGTTAAGAGTTTAAGAAAAAACAGCATGGTTTAGGTTAAAATCCTGGCAGCTGCTAGGACAGACAGAAAACAGTTGTGCTTCTTCAGTCAGGCATGGGAGAGAAATCGCTTATTAAAATACGAGCAAGCACTCCTAAGAATGGGAGTGGGGAGTGAGCACAGAAAAAAAACCCCAAAGTCAGTATTACTGTTTTATTACCTCCTGTGCTCTTGCTGACTGACCTGCGTTTCTCTTTGTGAACTATATTTAGCAAGGTAAAATTTGATGACGTCTGAAGCTTCAACCCTGATGACATCAGTTGACATCAGCAACCAAGTCCTTGGTTTAAATGCTTGGTTTCCTTCCTATGTCCATGGCTCTTCATTCTGTCTACAAATCTCTTATTTCCCAGTAAGCTGGACTTGTGTTAGGCTTTTACTATTTTTAATTTATTTAATTAAATTACTATATTTAATTTATTTTTAATTTATTTAAGGTAAATTCCTAGCTGGGTCTCCCTTCTTTGTAGGTCAGTTGCCTTTGAATTCATATCCTCCTGTGCTAGCCTCCTGAGGGCTGGGATTACAGACAGGTGTGTACCACCATGGCCATTTCCTTTTTATCCCTCCCTCCCTTTTTGAGACAGGGTCACATTATGTATTCCTGGGTGTCCTAGAACTCTCTAGGTAGACCAGGAAGGTGTTCAACTCACAGCAATGCTCCTGCCTCTGCATCCTGACTGCTAGGATTAAAGGTGAATACTACCAAGCAGCAAAAATAGCTGCTATCTAGCTATATAGTGCTGAACTTGTGTTTATTCTGCTGCCCCTTTCTCCTGACCCATACAAATAATTTTAACATTTTTCCCTTTCATTAATTATGTGTATGAGTGTTTTGGCTGAATGTATGTTTGTGAAGCACACCATGCCTGGAAGCCAAAGAAGGCATCCGATCTCTGGAACTGGGGTTACAGACAGTCCTAAGTTGCTATGTAGGTACTGGGAATTAAACCTGAATCCTTTGGGAGAGCAGCCACTGACTACAGCCCCTACAAAGAGTTTTAATATGTATTTTATGTCCCACGTACTGGCTAAATTATGGGAGAAAACGAAAAACAGAAACCAACCAACCAATCCACCAGACAAAGATGAAGTATCTTTGTCTTTATGAAGTATCCTACAATGAAGGGGAAAGAAAATGAACTCCTGGTGGGGAGACAGCTCAGAGGATGGAGTGCTTGCTCATAAGCATAAGGGTGTGAGTTTGGATCCCCAGCATGGGCATAAAAGTTAGGCAAGGCAGTATCTGTAAACCCAACCGTGGTGGATACAGGTGATCCTGGCAGTTCACTATCTAGCTAACCCAGTTAGAATGGCAAATTCCAGGTTAGTTAGAGACGATCTCAAAACGTAAGTGGAAGGTGTCTGGCTGGACACTGCCTCGTGCCCCACTCCTTCCCATGTTCTAATGAAGAACATATCTGCTCTTGTGTCCTGCTCATTCACCCTAGTGTTTTCTATACAACCAGGACATATCTCCTCTGGTCCATTCTTTCTGGCAGTCTGTACAGTCCACCTGTCCTGCCCCGCCTGTCTACCACGTCACACACACACACACACACACACACACACACACACACACACACACACACACACGTCATCCTTGAAACAGGAATGCCCCTTTTATTGTGTTCCAGGGCAGCTTAAATAGGGCTCTCCTTGATTAATGGCCACGCCCTAGCTCTCGGGACTTTTCAGCTGCAAGTCCACCAGAAACCACTCCCCTGCCATCAGGAACTCATGAAAGTCTAGCACTCTGGCAGGCAAGGGGTCATAGAAAACTCAGGGTCTGAGAGTCTGCAGTCCCCAACTCTTCCCATGACGAGTCCCACTAATAGGGCTGGTGCTAGTAATCTGTTTTGTCCTCCTAGCAATTTGCATTCTCATTTCCTCAAGAAACAGGTTCCTGAGGTCATAGGCTTCTTCACCCAAATCTTCCCATTGAGTGTGAGCCCACCAACTCTCCCTCCCCACATCCTCCCATGCTAACAGGAAGTAGCCAGGTTTGAACCAGTGCCTATGTATCAAAGAAGGTCAGGAAGTCTAGCTGGAAACTCCGCCTCAGCCCCATTCCTTCCCATTCCAAACCACTCCCCCAGAAAAACCCAACAAAAGTCCAGGCTCTTCAAAAAGCTCAAGATCACCCCCAGGATATTTAAGCGCCCCCCCCCCCCCGCCATCTCCCAGCGGTTGGTTCAATAAACCTGGCCTTTTTTAATTTGGCTTGATCTGGCTTACTGGGTCAACAGAGAAGCCTACTATCAGGGTACAAAAAAAAAGAAAAAAAAACAAAAAAAAAAACCAAAAAACCAAAACAAAACCAAAACCAAAAAAAAAAAAAAAAACCCAAAAAACAAAACAAAAACAACAACAAAAAACCCCCACCTATCAGAAGGGCTAGTGAGACATCTCAGCATCTTGATAAAAGTGAAAGGCTTGATACCAAGCTCAAAGACCTGAGTTTGATTTCTAAGCACTCACACCATAGAAGCAGAGAGCTGATGCCCCAAAGTTGTCTTTGACTTCCACACATGCACTGTGGCACAGCTTCCCCCCTCAGAACAAAATGAATGAATGAATGAATGAATGTGACTTAAAAATATAAGATGAAAAGTGAGACATGATGCCAGGCGGAGGTGGCGCACTCCTTTAATCCTAGCACTCAGGAGGCAGAGGCAGGTGGATCTCTGAGAGTTCGAGGCCAGTCTGCTCTACAGAGTGAGTTCCAGGACAGCCAGGAGTACACAGAGACACCCTGGCTCAAAAAACCAAAACTGAAAAAAAAAAAAGTAAAAAATGGACTAGGAATGCCACTCAGCAGAGAGCTGTTGTGAAAACCCCTTCCTCTGGGAGTCAACCCTCTATCCTCCTCCTCAGAAAGCCTGAAAACAAACCAAAGTAGCCTTAGCCTCCCAAGTGATACTGTTTCAAACTGTACTTTGCTTCCTATTCCTACCCACATTCTCTCGGTCAGAAGAAAACTCATCCCATTGCCATCTCTGCACATTTCAGTCAATAAGTACTCACTGAGGGGCCTGCTGTGTTCCAAGTACTAGCCTAGGTGCCAAAGATACAAGACTGAACATAACAAAAATTCTAGCCCTCATGAGGCTTAAATTTTAGTAAAAGAAGTCAGGAAAAAGCAGTGAACCATATATGCCATCATATATATGACTTTATAAATCATATATACAATTAAGAATATGTACTCAAAGTGATATGGCACAAGGTGATAGAGGTTGCAATTTTAGATACAGCAGTTGAGAGGAAATCTCACTGGGGAAACCTGAGCAAAGCCCTGGCAGAGACAAGGGAGTGAGTCAGGATGGATTTGGAGGACAGCATTCCAAGAGAAAGAAAAGGCCCTCAGGCAATAGCATACCCTGGAATGGTAAAGAGGCCACTGTGTCATAGAAGTGTGTGGGGGCAAGGGAGCTCTGGAAGCCTTATAAGGACTTGGGCTTTCGCTTGGATGGGTGAGAGCTACTGGAGGTTTTGGGCAGAGCTGGTGACAGTGTGGGACTTAAGTTTTACAGGATCACCCCCTCAGGGTGCAGAACTAAGGCTAGAATGAGTAAGGCGAGGGCAGAAGGAGGGAGACAGGTTAGGAGTCTCCTGTGAAACTCAGGCAATGGGATGAGGGTGCTGACTCAATTCGTGATGGTAACAGTGGCGATGCTAAAAGCTTGGTGGATTCTGAGTATATGTTGAAGTAATCAAGTAAAAACACATGAGAGAAAGAACAATCAAGGTACAGTTTATTTTATAATCATGCCTGCATATATGTATGTGTACCACATTTGTGCCTGATGGAGGTGAGAAGAATGTATGAGATCTCTTGGAACTGGAGTTATGGATGGTTGTGAGTCATCACGTGGGTTCTGGAAACTGAATATAGGTCCTCTGTTAGAGAAACAAAGGCTCGTA